GTGGGGCTGGGGGGAAGGGTAGGTGGGATTGTGATAGGTGGATGCAGGTAGGGAGTTATTATAATTTGGTCAGTGGGAAGGGTGGAGCGGATAGCTGAGTAGGAAGATGCACAGGTTAGGTCAGGTCAGGGAAGCAAGGAGGAGGAGAAGGAATGTTCATGGGATAAGGTCAGGTTCGGAGGGATTTGGAAGCTTGTGAAGTCTGTATTGAGGCCATTGGGCTGTAAGCTCCCAAGGCAAAATATCAGGTGTTGTTCCTCCAGTTTATGTTTGGCCTCACTCTGATACTGGAGGAAGCCAAAGATGGACATGTTGCCAGGGGAGTGAGAGGGAAAATTAAAGTGGATGTCAACTGGAAATTCGGGTTGGTTGGTGTGTGCAGAGTGCAGGTGCTCCGTGAACCGGTCCCCAGGTCTGCATTTTGGTCTCCCTGATATAGAGGGGACCACATTGGGAGCAACAGATATGATAGATCAGTTTGGATGAAGTGCAGGTGAAACTCTGCCAGATCTGGAAGGATTGTTTGGGGCCTTGGACAGAGGTGAGGGGGAAGTGTAGGGGCAGGTATTGCACCTTTTGCAGTTGCAGGCAAAGGTACTGGGTGGATTGGAGAAGTTGGTGGGGAGTGTAGAGCTGACGAGGAAGTCACGGAATGAACGGTTTCTGTGGAAAGCATACAGGGGTGGGGAAGGAAATATCTTTTTGGTGGTGGGGTCTGATTGTAGGTGGCAGAAATGTCGGAAGATGTGTTGCATTCAGAGGTTGGTGGTGTGGTATGTGAGTACTAAAGGACTCTATCCTTTTTATTGTGCATTTAGAAGTGATAACTGGACCATGACCATTTTTCAGGGCTTGAAGCAAACTAGCTCCCCTAAGAGAGGGTGTCAAAACTCGAGCCGAATGTAGCCACAGCTGGAACACATGCAAGAGTAGCACACTGACTTGCACAGAATTCATAGCACTTTATGTGTACTGGACCAGTCAATTGAGCACCTAAGCACTGACATTCATGGAATATATGATTTTGGAGCAGGTGACTGCACCCCGAAGGAATCCTTCTTCAAGGCAGCAAGAATATCAGCCAGGGTTTGATGATATGCCAAATTCATCACACAGCACACTCGTCATCCTTTGACAGAGGGAGTATCTGAGGAACAGAGCCCAGTGACATGGGCTAGCCTTGCTTGGATACTCAAGAACAATTTCATGTGAGGCCACAATGGATCCCTTCAAAACAAAGACAACAGTCAAGAAGGCAGATACTGCAAAGTTTCCTCTATTCACAGTCCATTAACTTGCACAAGTTTAGGGACCTCCAACAGATCGCCAGTTATTTACTTCTGCTTCGCCAGGTATTTGTCTCCATGGTGTGACTCCTGAAGGTCCACATCACTGCCAAGTAGAGCATTACTATATCTGTGATGATATATCAGACCCCTGAATTATTTTAGTGTCGTAATTAGCTTTTTGGACAAGACAGTCTTTGTTTAAAAAAAAACAACTACAGGCCAAGCCTGGCTGAAAATATAGAATTCCTAGTATTGAATTCACTAACTGCAGAAAGGTTCCCTATATGAACCCTTGGAATGTTGCACCTTGTAGTTAGCCCAGGGAGCTTCAAAGAGAAAGAAACTGCTTAACGCAGAAGCACAAGCCCTCTAATTAGTTCCTCTCAGCAGGAAAATGTCTGCCATGGGTTATATTCCAGACTATGGACATGTGTCAAAAGGTATGTGTCTGCTTTACCCTTGTAGGAATATACCAAAGAGGGGTTAAAAACCAACTACTCCTGTGGTCTGTGTGCTAGAGGACTGATGTGAGGGTCACTGTTTGATGACAGCCATTAAATACCCTGCACTGCAGGTACATAATAAAATAAAATGGAAGCACGTCAGCAAGCCGGCCAGTGCCCTAATGAAACATGACAAAAGAGTTTCAGCTAACCTGTAACACCAGGAGTCTTGAAATTGAGCATTCTGATACCAACGCTATGCTACCAGTATCACCCAACGTAATGACCACAACATTCCACCACCTACTCTTCATGATCACTCCAGAAACTGAACTGTACATCTTCCTAAAAACAAAACCCAAAAGAACTGCGCATGCTGGAAAGTAGAAACAAAAACAGCAATTGCAGGAAAATCTTAGTTGTAGAACGGTCACTGGACCCAAAACGTTAAATCTGCTTTCTCTCCACAGGTGCTGCCAAACCTGAGATTTTCCAGCAATTTCTGTTCTTGTTATACATCTTCACTTTTTTTTTTGGACTCTCTTATTTCTAATCTCTGTTTGTGTGCTATTCTATTACTACTTGTGTTTAGTAACTAATAAACTCACTCTCCCTTGAACTCATGAAACCTTGGTTAATTTAGCTCCTTCTAAAATATAAATTCATTAGGTTTAGGAGAAAGACAACCTTTAGCAGGCAGGGGGTAGGGGGCGGGTTAACTTAATTAACCTCAATGAGACCAACCAACCAAAGCTAGCTCATCCCTACTCAGTGAGGAGTATAACAGTTTGGGGTGTCTCATCTGGAACCGTAACCAATTGAAGAATCTCACCCAGGGACTGGTGGTAACACTGTGACTGTGTGCATGCCATTAGGGAATGGCTTTCTCCTGTATGTGAAAGTTATTAAATAGTAGACCTCATTGTGCTCCTTGTTCTTACGCGATGGTGTAAAATCAGGAGCACTCAAGGCATTGTTCATTTGGTGATTAAAAACCAAAAGAACTGCAGATGTTGTAAATCAGGAACAAAAACAAAGTTGTTGGAAAAGCTCAGCCGGTCTGCCAACATCTGTGAAGGAAAAAACAGAGTTAACGTTTCAGGTCCGGTGACCCTTCCTCAGAACTGTTTTTTCCTTCACAGATGCTGCCAGACCTGCTGTTGCTGGAAAAGCTCTTTGTTATTGTTCATTTGGTGACCTCCCATCATGCTCACATAGGGATTTTGGAAGAGGTTACTTGATTCAGTGTCATATATGTGGAATGAAGTCGCTCAAAGTGGCTCTCTTACCAAATTATAGCCTTCATGACACTTCGATTAGCTGCACAGTACCACCCACATGCACAGGCAGGAGAGAAGAGGGACTTTGAGCCATCAAAATGAAGGGAGAAAGTGATGGATCCTTCGAAGTTTTTAACTGATTTTATGCAAGAGCTTTTTGCAGAAGATGTTACAAATGGGGGAAGGGGTCAGTTTAGCTCAATTGGCTGGACGGCTGTTTTGCGATGCAGAGTGATACCAAAAGCATGCTTTCAATTCCTGTATCTGCTGAGGTTACCATGAAGGATTCTCCTTCTCAACCTCTCCCCTTGCCTAAGGCATGGTGACCCGCAGGTTAGATTCACCATCAGTTCTCTGCCTGTCTCTCTCTCTCTCTCTCTGTCTCTCTCTCTAATGAGTGAGCATCTTAAGATCTAGTAAGACTGCGGTGACTTTACCTTTATGAACTGGGGACAACAGAGAGAAGCTTCAAAACAGGGTTCCTCTTATCTGAGGATCCCTTGACAACACTTTAAAAATCGGTGGGACAATTCATGAAAACATCTAGTGGCTGAGGCAGACCTTTTATCCTGACCAATCTGCCTCTGTTTCCGCATCCTGGAAACCTAATTTAAAGCAAATGTGCCCCTTACCTATTTAAAACCCCGAATCCTTTGTGTGTGTCTTTGTGTGTGTTGGGGGGGTGGGGTGGGGAATCACTTGCTGGTACTAGGTTGGTGACTTGGACTCAAACCTACTTTGCATTTTCCTTGTCCTACAGGCAATTTGACTTCCATCTTTTAGAAAAAGGATTTCTAACTGATGTGTTAAAAGTGCAGCTTTGCAGAATTGTTTCCCTGTGTATGCTTGATTGACATATTTGCTGCCTTCCTTGTAATGATAAACTGAACAAAGCAAGATTACTGTTTTAAGGATGTAACATAAAAAAGTGAATAAACATTTCTGTCCAAAATATTCTATTTTAATTCCCACAGTGTGTAGATTTTTTTGTTATTTATTTTAAAAATTCTTCTTAAAAGATTAATATAATTAAGTTTTATGAAAAGTGTTTGGCAGTTTTGTTTTTGAATTGTTATTTGAAATTATTAATTTCAAACTGTATCTGCTGGATTTCTTGCACCTACATGTGACATTGTAGCAACAAAAAGTAAGTGCTATTCTGCTGGCTCATCTCCTGCCAAAATTGAAACTTGGTTTGTAAAGATATTGCCACTACTTTACAATCATTAACCACAAGTACAGTACAGGCAGTCTCCAAGTTGCAGACGAGTTCCACTCTGAGTCCATTCACAAGTCAGTTTGTATGTAAGTAGGACACAATGCAGAACATTACAAAATGCTCATTCGTAAGTATGAGGAAACGTTTGTATATTGGATGTTTAAAATCATTATTAATACATCCCTGTCTGGAATCGCATTCATAAGTAGGAGCACTCATAAGTCAGATATTTGTAAATAAGGGATCCATGTACTGCAAAGTTTGTTGTGATTGCTGTCAAAAATTTCCACTATAGATCGAAATCTTGTTGAACTGATCCAAATAGTTATTCTACTTGTAAATTTTCTGCTTCTGGTCTCTCACTTTGAAGGATTAAACTTGAATGTTTGAAGCTGAACAAGGAATCTAGGACTTTGCCATTTGAAATATTTCACCCGTAGCTTCATCATAACTTCACTACTGAAGCATGCTAAATTTTGGTTTGATAAGGTCCAGCATCCTATAATTGCTTCACTTTTTAAAAACAAAACTTCTAAATTGCAAGTTTCATAATATACTTGAAAAATTAGAAAAATGCTAAATATTAGCCAGGCATATCTCCTGATTAAAACCAGAAATTATTGAGTTTCACATATTGCTCAGAGAACATTTCATCTATGGAGTTAACTGCAAAACGAAAGAGGCAAATAAATACTTAGCCCTGAGAATACTTTTCACCTATGATCACTTACTTGCTAAGTACATTTTTATATTTATTTTGTATTTTTAGACCAACAGACAACCAGCAAGACTGAATCTACTCACTTGCCAGGTGAAACCCACTGCAGATGAGAAGAAGTGTTTTGACTTGATATCACGTATGTTTCTTTACTGTTATTGGTTTGGATCCTGTAGTTCTGAAATAAATTGTTATTTAAACTTTGCAAGTATCCGCAAATATATTTTTCTAAGATTTGTATAGAATTACCGTTGTATTGTCTAGATATTGTGTCAGCATTTACAGCCCTTTAGTATTACTGGTAGTACTTAGCTTTCAACTAAAGAGCAAATCTCACCATCCAGATCCATTTACAGAAGGAAAGTAATTACAAAGAATGATGATGCCAGTTCTTTGTTTAACATGTATTCCTTGGAATTTCCAATACTTTTGTTTACATTTTTTAAACAAAAATGTGGAGATACTAATTTGAAGGTAAGTGTAAATAAATGAAAAATTTAAATTAGCATTAGCAGAGGTACATCAATTGTCTATGTAAAACATTGTTGTGGAGCTAGACCTAAATATATCAAAAATATCCCAATTTATGACGACTTATTCCTATTCTTGCTGTTATTCTTTGAATTCAAACAACCAAAATAATACCATTCTAAAATCTGTGTTTAAGGTTATCATTATTTCATTATTAATGAGGGATACTGATGACAATTATCCTTTAAATGATAATACAGCTGATCAGATTTAGTTTTTATTGGAAGAGTGGGGAATTCACAATTGAAAGTAAATTGAGTAGGATCATGACTGTGTACCAGATGGTTCTACAACTGGTGGTGGTTTAAGCTGAGTGTCACCATGCATCATGTGAGGGGAGAGGTTGAGAAGGAGGGACCTTTGTAGTAACCTCAGCCAATGTAGGAATTGAGCCCATGCTAATTGCATCACTCTACATCACAAACTAGCCATCTAGCCAACTCAGCTAATTGATCCCCTACGATAAGCTTAGATAACATTGTAGGGATGGTAACATAATGAAGCTTATATATGGTTTGAACAAGGGGTATTCAAGGGCTCAAATTGTGTTGAGGAGTTCCTCCTGAATTATAGAACAGGTACACTTTGCTATTCTTGGAATAATTCCTTTGAACCTAACCAGATAGTTATGGGAGCATGTTCTGTTTATTTTTTCATGTGATGTAGGCATCGCTGACAATGCTGGAATTAGTTGTCCACCTCGCATTTTTCTTGATTTGAGTAGCTTTTCAGACCATTTAAGAGGGTGTATAGGCAACATGACAATTGATCTAGTGTCATATATAGGATTAGATCTTTCCTTGGGATATTAATGAGCCAGATGGATTTTTATGACAAACATGGTTGGCTTCATGGTCACTACTTTTTGATTCCAGATTTATGATTTGAATTCATATCAATCAGCTGCCATGGTGGGATTTGAACCCATCTCCCCAGGATAGTAGCCTTGGTCTCTGAATTATTAACCCAGTGAAATTAACAATATGCTACTTAAAATTGGAAAACCAAGATTTGTGAACCAGGGAAAGGAAACAGTAGGCAAGATAAGAGTAGCATCCAGCAATGAGTTTGTGAAAGGTAGTTTATGAAAAATTGAATATTTTGGCCTAATTTGAAATCAAGTCACCAGAGATTCACATCTGGTTTTGTTCAATTTATTAAGCAGTGACTGAGATTTGACAAAGGATGTTAGATCACCGATAATCAAAATTAGTTAAATGCAATCCTTTATCTAAAATATCCAACTCTTTTTCTTATTGGCATAGAGCAACATACAAGCAGAACTTGAAATTTAATCATGGCATTTCTTAAGTTTGTTTTTGTAACCAATATGAAGAGCTGAGGCCACATTGGTGGACATCGACAAGGTTGACATAAGTAAGTGTGGATGAAGTAGATCAGCAGTAGTGATTGGATGATACCAACACCTCATTATTGTCTTCTCAACTTGGAAGAATGTACTCCAAGTGACAGGTGAATACTGTACTGGTATACACACACACTGCACTTTGAACCAAAGTCCATCACTGGATAAACATAGATTAGTTTGTGAATTATAATAACACATTACAATTCCATGTATGCAATAAGATTTAAAAGCCAGTACTACTAAATACATTGCTCCTGAATTAGGGAACAAAATATCATGTTTGTATTCTTGGTACTTTACATTTAAACAACTAAGAAAATTTACTTACAGCTAGTAATCCTACATTTCAGGAATTCTGCATCGATAGATCATAGTATTTATAGAAATTTATTTCTGTTGTTTACTTGATGGCTATTTTTCTCATGCCTGTTAACCTGGTCTTGTCACTTTTTACTTTCTTTATCTTCCTTCCTTACAACAGACAACAGAACCTATCACTTCCAAGCAGATGATGAACAGGAATGTCTAGTGTAAGTGCTTTTGTGACAAAAATCATTTTAATTCAAGATTCTGTTATGGAGAAAGTGGATTGACCTGATCATATGAAAACTTATCTTTGGAATTTTATTGAGCACAAACTAATTAGTAACTGTTGTGAAAACTTCTACATGTTTTGAACCCAATTTCAATCATTCACCATAGCTACATTTTCCTGAACAACGCAATCACCTCTTTGGAAGTATGGTTATCTATATTAATTTTATCTGATTGTATGAGCACTTGAGATCACCAGATCATTTTCAGGATTTCCATTCACTTCCAAGATTCTGTTAACAGTAAAGTGTAATATCAACACACCCCACACACAAAAGCCACCTCCACTACCACCACATGATAGTCACTTTAAAGATGTAAATGTACCTTGCGTATCTGCATTTGTAAAACATATTGCACTAAATATAATCCACTTTATTTTGTGAATAATCAAAACAGAGAACTGTTTCTCCAGTGACAAATACAACTGAAAAGATAAGTTGTAAAAACTGAAAACCAATGTTTGTTCTGCATTTTGTACATAGTTTTAGCTGATGTTGCCTGAGGTCAATTTGTCAATTGAAAATCAGTTTCAAAGTTGAAAGAAGTTAGTCTGCTGGAACTACATCTATGTGGTTAGATGAGAACCTTAATCACTTTGAGGTTTGAGTATGACACCCGTTATGTTTGAGTACTGTTGCATTCATGGATAAAGGTCACTTCGACAAGTGTTATGGACCAGACAAAATGCCCTTTAAATATAACAAGGAGGTAGCGTAGACCCCAACTTCTTATTTTTAAAGGCAAGTCTAAGGTGTTGTGTTCCAGCTGCAATTTGATTGGTCATACTGGCAGTTTTGAATCAACACACACTTTATTCTTAGTCTGTAGGCAAAATACAAACAAAAGAAAGAAGAATTGAAATAACTCTATTGGAAGACTTAACAGAATAACAGATTGTTTAACTTGTAAACAGCAACTTCTTTGTCAAAGGCAAATTTAGTAAAATAAGTTGTCTATGTGCAATTCTAGCAGCAGGAAGAGAACCCAAGCTTTTAGCTGTAGCAGGGGAGGAATAGTAGCTTCCACATTGAGCTTCAGACCCCAGCAACTACTGAAAATTGAACTAAAATTGGTTCTGCAAGAGATTGAGCCCACCCATTAATGCTGCTTTATTGTTCCAACTTTTTAAAAAAATCCCAAGGCCTGTTTACCCAATTGGCTTGGGGCAAACCACTTAGTACCTCTATCTCAACCTCTGTTCATAGCAAAAAAACACCTCTTAACGTCATGGTATCGTCACACTGGGCACCAGAGAGCATCTGATTCCTGAAGAATTGTATTTCAGTGAGGAATTGGGGAAGACCAGAAACAAAATCAAGTAAGGGAAATGTACACAATATGTTAGTGCAAAAACACACATTGGGGTACTAACTAGTGGGGCATGACCTTTTGGTTTCAATCCCCCACCTAGTGAGTGCTTCGTGATGAAACTTTTTTTAAACAAAGTTATTGCTTTGGGAACAGTTAACCATTAACAAGAACTTTAATTTGAGTTTTCTATCACAGACTGAAATTAGACCAAACAACAAGATTCAGAAGAAAGCAGAGCCTCAAAACTAAAGAAACTATTGAATAGTTTTATAAGTATTTTTTGCTTATTTTAAACCAGTTTCAGTAAAATGTCTTGATGCTTGGTTTAGAATTGTTTGATGTTTTGTTGTTAGAACCTTTTTAGTTCATCATTGTATTTCAACAAAGTACGATCCCTGGTACGATCTATCAGTGCGTTCAAATTGACATGACCAAACTGTTTGATTCTTATTGTCTTCAGGGAGCTAGAGGCAAGAAATTAATCACATTTTATCAGTTTTACCAATGTCTGAAGAAGAAATATATATCTATATAACTAAAAAGGCCTGTACCTATTCTTATCTATCATCCTATTAAGCAATAGGAACTTTGCTGATTTCCCCTTCTTGAGTTGAAACACTGTGGCCAATTGTAATTAGATTACTAAATTAATTTCACCTTTAGGGATTCCCTTCAATCTAAGAAGCTCAGTCTCTCATTACATAACCGTAATTACTGATAGATCATTACTGATCTATCCGAGTAGCTCACTGATGCAGGGTTTTAAGAAAATTTACTGTTTACTGTTTTGGAGCTAAAAATTGTATGCTGAAGCTCTGTCAATGAAGCTTTTTGTTTTGTTTCCCAAAGTGGCGAATTTCTATTCTGGAGAAATTTGAACACTTTTTAACATTTTACATCTAATGTCTCTGCAAAATATTTTCCCTTTGAATCTAAACAGATTCACTTTCAAAATAAATTACTTTCACCATTGACTCATCCATGTGTATTGACAGGAACCTTAATGAACAATCATTATTGTGCTCTTTTGAAAATTTGGTTCCACAACATATTGTGTTGGCTACTAGATTGCCAATAAAAAGCAAATCATAGTCAATTTTGTGTTGTGGACTCACCTCACAAAAAGCAAAACTGGAACTCTTGAAAGACGTTTGTGTTTGAATTAAAGTAGCAAATTGGAACGTGGTTAATATGTGATGTGATTTCTATGTAGCACTGTGGACGTCTCAGTACAAAAGGCAAGTTAAATTATATATCCTGTTTTAGCTGTTTTAAGAATTGTTGGTACATGAACTGATAGTAGGGAAAATACTACAACCTATTGTAAAAATTTAACAGCAGAGCACTTGGGAAACAGTGATAGGATTGGACAGAGTCAGTATGGATTTACGAAAGGGAAATCATGCTTGAAAAATCTAATGGAATTTTTTGAGAGTGTAACTGGTAGAGTTCAGAAGGAGAAACCAGTGGATGAAGTTTACTTGGAAATTTAGAAGACATTTAATAAGGTCCCACATAAAAGATTAGCAAATTAAAGTGCATGGGATTAGGGGTAGTGTACTGACATGGATAGAGAACTGGCTGGCAGACAGGTAACAAAGAGTAGGAATAAACAGGTCATTTTCTGAGTGACAGACAGTGACCATTGGGGTACTGTCAGTGCTTGTACCCCACCTACTCTCAATTTATATTAATGATTTAGGTGAGGGAACAAAATGTACTATCTCCAAGTTTGCAGATGACACAAAACTGAGTAAGAGGGTGAATTGTGAGGAGGGTGTAGAGGTGCTTCAGTGTGATTTGGATAAGTTGAGTGAGTGGCAGATGTATTGCAGATTAACTATAATGTGGATAAATGAGCGGTTATCCACTTTGGTAGCAAAAACAGGAATATTATCTGAATAGTGATAGATTGGGAAAGTGGGGAAGGGGCGCTGCACCAAGATCTGGGTGTCCTTGTATACTAGTCACTGAAAGTAAGCATTCAGGTGCCACGGGTGGTGAAGAGGGAAAATGATATGTTGGCTTTCATAGTGACAGGATTTGAGAGCACAAGCAGTGATATCTTACTTCAATTGTACAGGTCCTTGATGAGACTGTACCTGGAGTATTATGTGCAGTTTTGGTGTCCTTATCTGAGGACAGACGTTCTGGCTATTGAGGGAGTGCCAGTTTACCATGCTGATTACTGGGATGGGTAGGACTGACAAATGAAGGAAGACTGGATCGGTTTGGACTATATTCGCAGGAGTTTTTAGAAGAATGAGAGTGGATCTCATAGAAACCTATAAAATGTAACCGGACTAGAACGGGTAAATGTAGGATGTTCCCAATGACTGGGAAGTCCAGAACCAGGGGTTGTGGTCTAAGGATATGGGGTAGGCCATTTAGGACAGTGATGGCAAAGCATTTCTTCACCCAGAGAGTGGTGAGCCTGTGGAATTCTCTGACACAGAAAGCAATTGAGGCCAGAACATTGAATGTTTTCAAGAAGGAATTGATATAGTTCTGAGAGCTACAGAGTATCAAAGGGTTTGGGGCAAAAGCAAGAATTGGTTCAGCTATAATTAGATTATATGGTGGAGCAGGCTCAGAAGGCCAAATGGCCTTCTCTTGTTCCTGTTTTCTGAGTTTGTATGATGCTTTCTTCATGTTTGCACCACTGACGACCTCAAACTGGTTCATAAGTCGAGTCTGTAATAATCCAAATTCACAGTACCTGCCCCCAGAACTTTAAACCTTAAGTAGAAAGTCTGAAGCTGTAAGACTCCTTTTATAGATAGTAAAAGCTACACCTACCATTGGAAAATGGACCTTAATCTTCTAGGCTTTATTGAACAAATATTGTCCAAAACTTCCAATTTTATTTCTTTCTTTGGATATGTGTGTCACTGGCAACACTAATGTTTGTTGCTGTCTCTTAACTGCCTTTGAGAAGGTGCTGGTTTACCACCTTCTTGAGATACAGCAAAGTACTACTGGATAAGGAGTTCCAGGATTTTGATGATGTGTCATTGAAGGAATAGTAATATGGTTCCAAGTTAACATGGTGTGTGGTTTGCTGGGGAATTTGCTGGTGGAGGTGTTCCCATGTGTCTGCTGTCCCTGAACTTCTAGGTGGTGAGAGGCTGAGAGTTTGGAAGGTGCTGCTGACGAAACCACACTGTGGTGCAAAGTGCATCTTGTATATAGTAGACACTCTGTCACTTAGAGTTGATGGTGATGGAAATGAATGTTCATGTTAGTGAATGAGGTGCCTATCAAGTAGGCTCCTTTGTCCTAGATGATGTGGAATTCCTTGAAGGTTGTTAGAACCGTACTTATCTAAGTATGTCTGAGTAATCCATTGTATTTCTGACCAGTGTTGGCTTTGGGAGTCAGGAGGTGAGTTACTTGTTGCAGAATTCCCAACCTCTGACCTGCGCTTGTAATCTTTTATCATCCTAAGATGTAACTGATAAACTAAAGGATTGGTTTTGCAATCTAGTACTTAAAGTGAGGGAGAAGTTCTCACTGGAGTTTACCTTGAGAAATTGCAAGGCTACTTTTAAGAAGAACTATAGCATTAAAAGTATTGATCCCACACTGAAATATCCAGAGTGTCGTGTTTTCTAAGCTTCATACAGCTGAGATATTAAATGACTAGTTGATTTTAGTGCCAATGAATGTAGACCAGATAAATGGCTCACTGAAATTGATATTTGGAACTGTTACTTGTACATCACAGAGTATAACATTTAGTGAACGTGTATGTTTTAACTGGCACATTGCCCACATCGAAGGAAGATTGAAAATATTTAGGGAGAAAAGAAAGTAAAAGAAGGGTGATTAACTTGCATTGAAGCATATATCCACTAAAATTTGAAAGTGTATTTAGTACTTGGTTGCAAATAATGATCTTGCAATGGAAACAATGTTGAAAAATCCAAGGTAGTTTTTGATCAAAGGCTGGGCTAGTGAAGCTTTGCTAAGTGGATTCTCATTGAGCACTGATGCCCTCTGCCTTCAGCTTTCAGTGTTACCACACATTCAATAATCATAGTTTCCTTGCTAATACAATATTTTAGTATATAGTAAAGTCTATCAACAAGAGTAATCTTTAACTGCTGAATCTGTAATTATACAGATTCTTTAGCAGGATTAAACCTCAAGAAGGGAGAAAGGGATAAAGCAGGAGACTGCAGGCCATTCAGTCTAACCTCATTGCGGGGAAACCAGTAGAAGTTATTCTGAAGAATAATCTGCATTTGGAAAGGCAGGGATTGACGGAAAACTGTCAACATGGTCTTAGGGAGGTCATGTCTGACCAACTTGATTGAATTTTTCAAAAGTGACCAAGTGTGTAGATGAGAGCAATGCATTTGATGTAAACCACTTGCACTTCAATGAGATTTTTGACAAGTTTCCAAGACTAATAATGAAAGTCAGGGCCCATAGGATCTGAGGAAATTAGGTTAATTGTATCCAGAATTGGCTGAGTGGTAGGTAACAGAGGGTAATGGTTGAGGGGTGTTTATTGATACTGGAAACCTGTGTTCAGTGGGGTTCCGCAGGGATTATTGTTGGGGCCCTTGCTGTTTGTAGTATATATAAATGATTTAGACATGAATGTAGGAGGGTTGATCAATAAGTTCATGGAGGATACAAAAATTGGTGGAGTGGTAAATAGATGGGAGGGGATAACCTTTGTTTGCAGAAGGGTATAGACACGTCATCAGAGGAGCTGATCAGTCGCAGATGGAATTCAATCCAGATAGGTGTGAGGCGATGCACTTGGCCAGGAACAACAAGGCAAGAGAATACTTGATGGGCAGGAAGCGCCAAGATCCAAGAGACCTTGGTATGCATGTTAGGAGATTAATATGCAGCTCAAAGACTTGTGTGGGAGAAGTGGGTTTCAGTTCATGGCCCACTGGCACCAGTAGTGGAGAAAATGGGAGCTGTACCATTGGGATGGTCAACACCTAAAATAAGCTGGTGTCAGTGTTTTGCAAACCACATAACTGGGCAAGTAGAGAGAGTTTTAAACTAAATAGTAGGGGTAAAGGATCAAAAAATGTGGGAAGTTGTTTTTGTTTCAAAGACTAATGCAAAGATGAGAGAGGAAAACAGTAAAATGCAAATGAGGGGGTCAAAGAATGGCAGGAAGGAGTAGAGAGGATAAAGAAATAGGAATACACCAACAATGAAGATTTGATCAAGTCTAGTTCTGAAGAAGTGTCACTGTTAAGTGTTAACTCTGCATTCTCTTTACAGATGCTGCCAGACCTGCTGAGTTTATACAGCAATTTCTGTTTTGTTTGTTTTAGATCTCCAACATCCGCAATTCGTTGTTTTATATTAACCAAGACTAGATGTTACAAAAATAACAAAAAGACAAAACCAAAGGTTTTGTATTGAATGAATGTAGCATTCATAACAAGCTAGCAAATTGATAGCATGCATTGAAGTTAAAAAAACAGACTTGATAGCAATTTTGGAGACATGACTTCAGTATAGTGAGGATTGGGCTCTAAATATTGAGGGATATGTGATGTTCAAGAAAAATGCAGATCTGGGTAAAGGTAGATGACTAGTATTGTTAATCGGGAATGGTATTTGTCCAAATAGTTAGAGATTATCTTGGTTCAGGAGATCAGGATGTAGTATTAGGTTTGGATGAGGAATCAATTGGGGTGGAAATGGGAAATAATAGGTGAGATATAACACAGGCACCCTAACAGTAACTACAAAAAGAAATATTGGGTGCTTTTGATGAGGGGATGCCAATAATCAGGGTGACTTTAAACTACAGATAAACCGGAAGAATCAGATTAACAATAGTAGCCTGAAAGAGGAGTTCATGAAATGCTTTTGAGATAATTTTATTGGAATAGCACATTGGAAGCAACTAGTGAGCAGGTTATGTTAGCTTTGGTGTTGTGTCATGTGATGGGATTAGTTAATGATCTCAGAGTTATAGCACCTCTAGGCATCAGCAACCACAGTATATTTGAATTTTGCATGCAGTTTGAAAAGGAGGAGATTGGTCTAAGATTAGCATTTTAGACCTAAATAAGGGCAACCTAGGTTGGCATGAAAGCTAAACTAGCTGAAATTAGGACACTAGTCTAAGGGATAGATCAATAGAGAGACTGTGGAAAACCTTCTAAGGGGATATTTTAGAATAAGTATATTTTTACTGTAAGTAAAAAATTTGTTGTCCATGGTTAATTAAAAAAGGTAGAGAAAGCATTAAACTTAAGGAAAAGGCACACAACTGTGCAGAGTTGAGTGGCAGATCAGATGACTGGTCAAAGAAGAGCAGTTTAATCAGGAGGAAGAAATTGGAACATGAGAGGAAGCTAATTAGGAATTTTAAAATGGTTTTAATTTTAAAAGGTGAGAGTTTCTACAGGTGTTCAGAAAAGAAAAGAGTAAAGGAAGTGAGTGGTCCTTGAGTGAATGAGAATGGAGAATTAATAGTGGATGATAAGGAAATGGCTGATGAACAAATATCTTGCTTCTGTCTTTGCTATAGAAAATACAAAAAGAACCAGTGATAGTTCTAAATCGGAAAGTAGAAGGAGCATGAAGACTTAGTGAAATTACATTTGCAAGGTAAATAATAAGAAGCAAACTGAGGGTGCTGTGTACTGACAAGTTTCCAGGTCCAGATGGACTTCAGCCTAGGGTCCAGAAAGAGGTTGCTTGTGAGATAGTAGATGTTGGTCTTAATTTCCTAAAATTCCCTAAATTCAAGCAAGGTTTCATTTTAGCAGATATAATTCCCCCTTCAAGAATGGAAGGAGGCTGGTTAGCTTAACATCTGTCATGGGAATGGTGTCAGAATCAGTTTTTGAAAAAACCATAGCTGCACATTTGGAAAAACTTGAGATAACTGTGAAAAGTCAGGATGGTTTCATCAAAGGTCAGTCGTGTTTGATGAATTTTTTAGATTCCTTTGAAGGAGTAGCATGCACTGTGGATAAAGGGGAGTTTGTAGATGTTCTATACTTGGATTTCAGCAGGCTTTTGACAAGGTACTACACAAAAGGTTATTGCAGAAACTAAATGCTAATTGTGTAGAGGGTAAATTTTTATCATGGATAAAAGGTTGGCTAACTGGCAAAACAAATATACACAAATGTGTTTAGTTTTAGATTTAAATTTTATTGTTGAGTATTATGTATTATCTCAAGTATGGGAATATAGGAGTACAGTGAAAAGTATATGAAGTTGCCATTCTCCGGCACCATCTTAGTATACAAAAGACAGGATTAAAAACTGAAGCAGAAATTAAAGAAACAGTCACGGATGGGTTATGCTAGGTCCTCAATATTTTACAATTAACAGCAATGACTTTATTGGAGGAAGTGAAAGCATAGTAGCTAAATTTGTGGGATGACACCAAGCTAAGTAGAAAAATCTGTTGTGAAGAAGACATAAGGAAGTTGCAGACATATGTGGATAGCTTGAGTGAGTGGGAAATTGGAAATAGAGTATAATGAACAAAAATATGATGTTTTTGGCTTTGGCAGGACGAACAAGAAAGCAACCTATTAGTCAAATGGAGTGCAAATGCAGAAGTCTGAGGTGAGGAGGGATTTAGGTGTATTGGTGCATAAATCAAAAATGTCAGTATGAAGGTAAAGCATGTAATCGATAGAACTAATAGGATTCCACCCTTTATTGTGAGAGGAGTTGAAAACAAAATTAATTTATACTGGACTTTGGTGAGACCACATCTTTCATATTGTGTGAAGTTTGCTCTCTTGCTTTAAGGATGTAAATGCATCGGAGGCAGTTCAGAGCCGGTTTACTAGTCTGATACCTGGAATGAGTATGTTTTACGATAGGTGGACATAGCGGTCTTATTTGCACTGGAGTTTAGAAGAGTGAGATTGAACTGATTGAAGTTTGTAAGATCATAAATGGTCTTGAAAAGTTGGATCTGAAAAGAATGTTTTGTCTTGTGGTTCAATCCAGAACTATGGAGCACTGTTTTAAAGTTAGGGGGTCACCCTTTCAGAGCAAAGATGAGAACTGTTTTTTTAATCTGAGGGTTGTGAGACATTGGAGGAGGGGGTCACTGAATATTTTTAAGGCAGAAATAGATTCTTATTAGGCAGGTATATTAAGGATTATTGGAGATCGATGAGAATGTGGAATTCAAACCCCTGGCAGATCAAAAGATTGGCATGGCAGGCTTGAGGGACTATAAAGGCCTCCTTCTGCTCTGATTTTGTACATACCAGTATTAATATTTAGGAGAAAATCAAGGACATGGCAGCCTGCAGAAGTATTGGCTCTCAGCTTGGAAAGAAAATCCATTGGTGAAAAAGCTATGGCTATGATCAGATAGGTGACAGCAAAGCGAAGTGAGCAGACATGCAATATCTTTTATAGTTGTACCTGTAAAGTAACCCAATCTACTTAGTTTGAGAGAGATTTTTTTTCGTGAATAACTATATACTTCCTTTGGGTTTTATAATGCCTTAAGATTTTAAAGTTGTTTCTTTTTTTAACAGATGGATATCAGTATTAACGAACAGTAAAGAAGAGGCATTAAACATGGCATTCAGAGGAGAGCAAAGCAGTGGAGAGAACAGCATAGAGGACCTAACCAAAGCCATCATTGAAGATGTGCAGCGGATGCCTGGCAATGATGTCTGTTGTGATTGTGGAGCTCCAGGTCTTTGTTTATTTTCCAGCAGAGAAATTTTATTTAACTGATAGCATAGCATAATTTTGCAATTTTCTAATCAAATACAGAATATTACAAATTAAATACTTCATCAAAGTGGTACAAGTCAAGCCTTTCACATGGAACCTTTTTAGCTATGTTCGATTTAAGCTATAGTCAATTCTAAGACAGTTAAGAGTTGGCATGCAAAATAACCTTATGTTGGAATGGTATTTGCAGTTCGCTGTTTAGTGATGGTTTTGCATGAAGCATATCCTCCAGAACAAGGTTTTCCAATGCTCCCATTCTAGATAATCCTCACATAGAACATAACCTTGTATTTTTGTCCTTATTTTCCTCTGAAAATGTCATTTTAATACTTGACGTATATTCTTCTTGCTCTACTTGTCATAGTAAGATGTAGTCAGTGTAACTCCAGGTCTAAAAGACAACATTTTTAATAAGTAGAAAGTATAATGCCTCTATAGCAGGTGTACCCCTATTTATCATAACATTATTTTTTTCAACTTGTGTTGTTTCCATTATGCAACATGTGTAGTTTTGAATATTTTTAAGCAAGGGAATCTCACTAAACTCTCTGAGTTCAGTTACAAACTGGTGCATATTCCCTGACATGGAATGCTCAGCTCATTCTAGAATCAGTGTTATACCCTACCTCCTAATATAATGATCTGATTACAAGTCTTGAAACCTGTGTACACATCTATTAGTCTGAATTTATTGTTGATTACACGCACGTACGCACATGCAGACACATCTTGCCAGAAGCAAGTTCAGGTTCAGAGGCCACCCAGATACCAGTCAACGTCCTCGAGTGAAAAATTAGTGCCTGCTTTAAGGCCTCAGTATACTGCTGCTGTTATTCAAACAGTTGCTAAAAGTTGGAACTAATTCATTCAGGTGTAACTGGGTTTAAAACAGCAATATGGTTATCGATATTTGATGAACAAGTATACTGATACTGAAAAACAATTTTCCATTAGTGCAAAGATGTCACATGATTAGGTAGTAGCTGTTTTATGCTAAAGTATTGAATAACTTTTTTCACATTTTTTTTTCAGAATATTTTGTCTTCCACCTTCATGCGCAAGTCCCAGTCAATCTAAAATTTACTTGGTGTAAAAAACATTAAAAATAATTTTGTTTATCGCTTTTTGTTCCATGATTGTGTATCTGCGTAAATCCTTCAATGTGAGAAGCTGTTTAGAAAATTTTATGACATGATTCTACACTGGGAATGCCCAAAGATGCTAGAATCAATTCCAGTACCAGTGGCAGAGATGAAATACTTGCTAAAAGTCACTAAATCTGTTTTGTGGTTTACTTCAAAAACGATGTTGGGCTGGTATGAAAGCTTTTGACACGGTAGTTCATTTTATATTCTGAGTGTAGCCAGTTGAAAAACAGTCAACCTTAGCTGTTGCCATATCTTGCATAGAGACCAATCAGTAAACCCTGTTGAGTTTGCTTACAGCCTTCTGGAAGGGATCCTCACTCAAAGACATTCTGCATCTGATCAAGAAAGCAGGAGAGGGCTTGCTAAAATCCATCCATTCTCTTTGATTTCTCTTCATCTTTCTCCAACCTCCCCTGCCAGTGATAATCCCAACTGTAATCCCACCCTTGCACACCTTTCTTCAGTAATGATTCCTGGTGAAGAACCAAATGAATCCCTGCTGGCAGCCACTGCTCCCAGTGCTGCTATCAGTAATGAAGCAGCTGGCAGCTCCCATTGCTGGGATGGGCAAGGCCTGCAATTAATTGTCCGCCTTGAAGCCAGGAATATCATGGCAGGGTTTCTGCTGCTAATAAGGAACTTAATTCCTCTGTGTTTGGAAAATTGAATCAATGGAGGTGTCTCCGGATTTGCTGCCAAACTGAGTCCCTTGATGTCATCATTACATTCAGCCTTATATGTGGTCATTAGCTTGGAAAAAAAACGTGTTAAGCTTTCCTCAAGGTTAAATATCCATGATCAGTTTGTTCAAGCTGACTCCTGTGTCCATGTTGTAAACAAACATTCCTACCGTGAAACGCTCTGTGGAATGTGAAATCATGTAAGATCATAGGGACTAGGTGTTGGTCATTTGGCCCTTTGAGCCTTTTCCACCAGGATTTCTCTTTCATAAAACCATGTTGCATTGTCCTGATATCTTACGATAACATCCTTAATAATGGATTCCAGCACCTTCACATACGTTACACTAACTGCTGTATAGTTTCCTGCTTTCTACCTCCCTCCTTCCTTAAAATCCACTGGGAACATTTCAGAATCTAAAGAATTTTGGAAAATTATAGGCAATGAATCTACTATCTTTACTGCCAATTCTTTAAAGACCCTAAGATGTAGGCCACCTGGCCCTGAGGACTTGAACCTTTTGGTCTGTCAGTTCTCCTAGCACCCTTTCCCCAGTGATTGTGATTGCATAAAGTCTATCCCTTCCTTACAGTTTTTGTTTCCCAATTATCTTTATGAAGTTTTCTAAGCCTTCCACCATGATGACAGACAGAAATGATGTGTCCAAAGCCTTCATCAGTTCTTTATCTTCCTTATTAATTCTTCATATTCATTGTATTAGAGGACCAGTTTTTTCTTAGTTTTAGTTGCACTTTTTCTGTTTAAATACTTTTTATATTATTTGCTAGCTTTCTGCCTTTGTTGTCTTAGTCATTCTTTGCTGTCCAATCTCCTGACCTACCTTTTTTAACCTAATTCTTTGTGTATTTGTAAAATGTTTCTTTCAATTTACTATTATCTTTAACTTCCTCATTTAGCTGGGGATGAATGATCCTTCTCAGAGAGTCTTTCTTTCTTTTAGGATAATCTTGCCTGAGAGTTATCATAGAATCAGAGAATTGTTACAGTGCAGAAGGAGGCCATATGGCCCATCATGCCTGTGCTGGCTCTTCAAATAATCATTATTACTTGGTGCCAATTTCCTGCTTTTCCCCATACCGTGGCACACGATTTTTATCCAAATAATCATCCTATGTTCTCTTGAATGTTATAAATGTCTCCTTTAAATGTCTTCCACTATAACTGTGTTGATCTGTCTTTTAACCTAGTTTCCTAGTGCATCTTAGCAAGCTCCGTGTTTATACCCTCAGAGTTACGTTTATTTCATGAGTCATCAACTCACACTTCTCCCTTTCAAAACTGAATATGATATTTTAGGATGTTATGCTCGCTATCACCTAGAGGTTCCTTTAACAGTAGATTATGGATTAATCATTGCACACTACCACATCTAAGATAGGTTGGCTGTAGAATGTACCATTCTATACCAATGTCCCGAAGACACTCTACAAACTTCTTTTCCAAGCTACCTTTACCAATCTGATTCCCCATTCTATGCATAGATTAAAGTCCATCATGATCACAAGAAATCTATTTTTTAAATCATTTTGTATCTTTACCCAGTATTTATTCTACATCTTTGATCTTTTAAGTTAAGGTAAGCTCTCAGTCCTGAAGTAATGCTATTCTTAATTAACAGGGTGAACCTGCTACCTTTTCAGCTTTCTGTCATATAGCCTTCACATTCAGGTCCCAGCCTTGGTCACTGTTAAACCGTACTTATCAAATTCCTGTCAGGTTATCCACATTTATCCCCATCTGTTCTAATAATTGTTTCCCTCTCCCTTCAAGTGAGTCTCCTCCATTTAGATTTAAGCCTTCTCTACCATCCAAATTTTATGATTTGCCTCAGCACTGTTCAAGAGAAAGCCATCCCGATGGTACAGCTTCTACTTTCCCCACTACTGGTGCCAGCACCCCAGGAAACAAAACCCATTTTCCCCATACCAATCTTTGAGTCAGATGTTCATTTCTCCAGTTTTATTTACCCTATGCCTATTTAGTAAGTTATGCATTTTTTAAGTTCCTAGCTGCTCATACTCCCTCAGCAGAACCTTTCTCCTAGTTCTGCCTATGTTGTTAGTACCTACATAGGCCATGACAACTGGATATTCCCCCTCTGACTGCAAATTCTTCTCCAGCCAAGAGTAGATGTCCCAAACCCTGGAACCAAGCAGGCACCACTGCCAGCTGTACTGTCGCTCCTGGTTGCGCAGAACTGTTTCTGTCCTCCTGACTGTGCTGTCCTACTACCTCTACATTCCTATTAATACCATCCTCTACTTGAATTACTTCCTGCCCTATGTTGCCATGGTTGGTTGATTCATCCACGCCGCAGCCACCATTTTCATCCATACAGGTTGCAAGATCCTCGAGTCTGTGGAAAATTGCAATGGCTTTTAGCTTCTTGGTCCCCATACTTGAGTTACTCGCAGTCACACCACCTTGTCTCTTAAGACTGACCAAATTAAACAAAGGATCCTGTCTGAAGAGGTTGGACTGCCTCCTGGAATAAAGTATCAGGGTAACTTTCCCTCTTCCTGCTGCATTGCAGTGTCTGCAGCTTAGCCAAAACTCTCAAACTCTGAGCCAAAATTGCTCATGTACCAAAACTTATTGCAGATGTGATTACCCTCTGGATCAGTTTTGCAACCAGAGATTTCCACAACCTGCAGTCTTGATGCATACAAAAACTGTCCCATTAACCCCTTTCTTCAAGTAAAGGAATACAGATCACAGTTATTTCAATTGATTATGCCGCCAACTTCGAACAAATAGCATTAACAAAGTGAATGCATAGGGAATCTTCAAAGTGTAACAGAGCTAAAGTATATTTATGCTAGTAGTTAATTTGAAATGAGTTAATATTCACAAATTCTCTATTAATATTTTACAGAAGGATTTCACTGAGCATTTCTTGGGTTTCTGCATTGAATACTCACATTGATAATTTTTTTGCTTCTATGCAGATCCTACTTGGCTGTCAACCAACCTAGGAATTTTGACATGTATAGAATGTTCTGGAATACACAGAGAAATGGGAGTGCATATTTCTAGAATACAGTCCCTAGAACTGGATAAATTAGGAACCTCTGAACTCTTGGTGAGTTACTATAATTATGATGTTCTCTAGGGAAAAAGTTTTTTGCTATTTTCACAATATCTGAAACACTGCAGTTGCACAAAACATGAGGCACCACACCTGCTGGCTGTTATATTCTCTTTACAATATTTAGGTTCATTGGAGTCAATGGAACTGAATATAATAAGCAGCTGATAGGTTACCACTGTTTTTTGTGAAATGCCTGAGAGAGATTTCTGCCGCAGTAACCCCAAATTTTTTTAAATTGTTTGTAATTGTAAGTTCTAAATTGATGATTGTCAAAATGAAGTATAATTGTTAATTTAATCTGTACGGTACAGATGAATATTTTAACATTTGCAATGCAACTACACGTATGATCTTTTTTGAATTGTTACTGTTAGAGTATAGAACAACTTGTTGTGTCAGCCCACTGCTGCCTTTGAAGTAATCTGCATTAAGAGATCTAGAGATTGTTAGCAAGCATTTCACCTCCGTCAGTGTGCACTGGTGCTGCAAATGATTCCAGTGTCTTTCAGTTTACCCAGTGCAGCGGTAGAGTCATGTCATCAAGTTGTTCAAACAGCCAATCACATTAAAGGACTTTTCGGTTCACTCAGTCAGGGAATGCAAAGCAGTAAAATGAAATCAATTTTCAAATGTTTTACAGAGGAAGTTGATTAATATCTCTGTGGAATTGGGTACAATGTAGCCTGTAGCAGAGCACTGAGTAACAGGCCACAATTTCAGGATTTCTGTGCCAATTTGACCCATCAGTTCTTGGTTTACTCCACCTCGGTGTATGCCAGCAGATGTAGCATCGGAATTTGATGCCTTGTAAATGAAGGAAGATTTGATAGCCTTTATGATCTAAGATGATGAAGATTCTTCAGCAAGAGACACCATGATCAGACTTGGAGATAGATTTTCTGTGACCTTGCTCCCTATCGTGGACTTTTGATTCAGTAGACTCCTAAAGCTGTTAGCCCATTCTTCAATTTTCTTATTGGATTGAGATTTGAGAGGTCCCGGATGAGCTTCGTTTGTTGTTAGTTCAGGTGGCAGAATAGCTGGTTTGCAATTCAGAGTGATGCCAACAGAGTAGGTTCAATTTCCACACCAGCTGAGGTTACCATGAAAGTCCAACCTTCTTCATCTTCTCCCTGAGGGGATTCTCTTGAGGCATGGTGACCCTCAGGTTAAACTCAGCACCAGCCATCTCTCTCTAATGAAAGAGAGCAGCCTTATGGTCCTCTGGGACTATGGCAACTTTACTCTTACCGCCAGACTACTAGCAATGGAAATCTATGAATTGATGAGAACCTCCACTTCTATTATATTAAAGACACAATGTAAGTTTGAGTTGTTTATATAAATGCAATGGACATGCAATTTAAGAAAACTTTCTACAAGTACCACTCGGGAGATCATTAGAGAAGATTGAAAGGTGTGGAGTTAGGGTAAGAATCGTAATTATCCTGTTACACTCTCAATATCCATCTTCTAGTGTGGATCCAAATGTTACACACATTATTTTAATTGAGGTATTATTAAGGTTTTTATTTACAGAATCATTATCACCTCTTGACTTTAAAATGCTACAGGTCTCATTATGAAATCTAGACTTCTGTTTGCCATTTTTAACAACTTTATCCACCTGTGATCAAGTGCCCTCAAAAAGACTCTGCTCTTCTGCAGCGCAAGCCTGTTTCCCCTCAGCATTATTAATTAGGTGAGGGGTGAAAAACTAATCATATATCCACGATTAAACATTAGAAATTTAGGATAGACTTGTGAAGATTAGTTTCTGCCTCAACCACTAACTCGTGTCAATATTCAAAATTAGATAGTCAGATGAAAGTGGAAGCTGAAGATATATAGGGACAGGGTGGAAAAACATAGTTAAAATTATTTTTGGTTTTGCGGAGTATCATCTCCGATGGGCTGGATGGGCCAACTGGACTAGTAATGTTTAACATCTGTCAAGACAATTAAAATCTACCGTAAATGTCATTTTAGTTTGAAGGAAGTTACTTTAGATTGTTTTAATTTATAGGCATAACTATTGATGAAATGGGACAATGTCAATCCATGACCATCTTACAAAATTCTCAACCGTTTTTTTAAATCATTTACAAGATGCAAGACTAATTCTATTGGAGACAGTCAGTTACTTTGAGAGTTAAATATGTTATATAATATTTTGCCATTATGGTCATTGAATATGCAGAGCAAAACATTTATAATTTAACCCTAGACAACAAGGTGCAGGGCTGGATGAACACAGCAGGCCAAGCAGCAGCATAGGAGCAGAGAGGCTGACGTTTCGGGCCTAGACCCTTCATCAGAAGGGTCTAGGCC